TCTCGAGAGCAAGACAGCTACCCAAAAGCCTTCTTAGCTCTGAGCACCCTCAAGATTGATTTGTCATAAGACCTATCCCAGGCTCTAGAACCAGGGTCACTGGCAGCCTGGGTGCAAATCCAGCCTGTCACCTGGGTTTTTAAGTAAAGTTTTATTGGAACACAGCTGCGTTCATTCAAAGACATCTTGAATGAACTATGGCTGCCTTTGTGGGACAGTGACAGAGACCATCCGTCCCTTGGTGGGAGAGTCTGTGGAGCCCTGCCCGTGGCCGTGAAGGGGAGGACTCTAACTCTGGGAGGTAGAATGGTGAGTGCCTACTCTGCTGCTCAGGACCTGGGGCTGTGGTTGGGCACATCACCTGACCCTCTGAGCCTCAGTTTCCCTTGTTTGTAAAATGGGATCATTGCAATAACGACTGCATGGAGTTGCCGTGAGGCCAGAGGCAGGTCAGGTTACTTGAGAGCTTGCTACCTGAATAACAAGAAGAAAAGTTTTAACAGCTGCTTGGTTTGTCCGTTTTTGTTTGTTTATTGATTTCCTGGGTTAGAGGCCCCACTCTGTGCCTCCACTGTCCCGTGCAGGGCTGTGCCTCTGTAAGGGACTCATCTGCTCCCCATTCTGGCCTGGGGGGATCTGAGCCCTGCAGAGACCAGGGCCTTGCCAGCCCCATTAGCTCCTCAGGGTGCCTCTGAGTCAGAGCCAGGCCTGAGCCAGAGTCCAGATGTGACAGAAATGTATTTTTAGCCCCTATTGATCTCTCTTGCCCCCAAACCATCATTACCCTGGTGTCAAAAGCTGCCAATGGCAGCAGCCTTTTGGCCTCTCTGGCCAATGGGTGCCCAGCAAATTACTCCCAGCCACGAGGCAGAGAAACCAAAATAACTCCATCATACGGCTGCTCCTGGGCAGGCCTGCGGGGCCCCCAGGAAAGGGCTCATTTGACTCTTGCTAACATTATCCACAGCTTTTCTTTTCGTTTGTGAAACCAAGAGAAAGCCAGTATCTAATTGGCCTGTCTGCCGTCGGCTCTGCCGGGCAGCTGGGCAGAGGAAGGCCCTGGTCAGGGTCAAGCCCAGGCGATGCTGACCCTGCAGGAGGCCTGACTGCCCCGGGGCTCCGGACTCACAGAGCAACAGTGGCCTCATACACCAAAGGAAACCCAGCCAGCAGAGACGTGATGTTTTGTCCCCTCGGGCCTAACTCCCCCTCACCTAATGGGCCAGAAATAAATCCCCACTCTTTGGAGTGGACAGAGCTCACCTCCTGTGCAAGGGGCACTGCGGTGGTCAAGGATGATGGGGAGAGGCACCCACTCTCTAAACCCTAATGCAGGGATCACAGGCTTTATAATTGGACCTGGGTGAGCCCTGTCTCATGATGAACTGGTAAATATTTAATGATTAGCTTTCTGGGGTAAGGGGAGTGTCTGTGGTTTTTTCCGATTGCCATGGTGTAAATATCAGCACTGTGGGCTAATTCAAGGCACCAGTGTGATTGAACACAGAGTCCGGACAAGATAGAAACAATTGCAGGCTCTCATGAGCTGTGCATGTCACTGTGGCTCACCACTGTCACTTAACTTCTGTGTGCATCAGGCCTTCAAGTGTAAAAAATAGGGACAATAATTGTTGATGGATGGAATATTCCATATATGTCTGTTAATGAGTAGATTGTGCAACTTCTATTTTAGGAATGATATTTAATGTAACTGTAATATGGATCAGCATTTGTGGGAATCAGTTCTACATTGGAACCTCTTGGCTCCAGCTTTTTCAATGATTTTTTTCCTCATAAAACTCATCTGAAAACTTTTCTGTAGTATTGCTTTTTGATAGATGCTACTCTTTCAGATTTATCTCCAGTAGTCTGATAGGGCATCATTTGTTTGACACATTCTTAGAAATCCAGTAAGGAGTCTTATCAAGTACAAATGTCTTACTATTGTCCTGTTAATGCACTGTAATACTATCATAGGGAATGTTCCCCTTTTAATTTCCATTAATGATAGAACAATAAAATTGGGTTCCAAGATGTGAGATAATTGATATGTGCTTCAGTCCATTGTTAGTTGAGGAGATTCTCTTCTTTGTTATTATTTGCTCTTATCCTCAAGAAATGTAACAGAACAAATACAAGTAAAGGAATGACACTGCTAAAGTCAGAGATTTTTTAATAAAAACAAAGATGATATCAGTCTTTTCTGGAAGGAAACCAAAACTTATTCTATAAGTTCTTAATAATAAAAATATGCAGAACTAGGAGAAAAATAGTGCTAATGTCCAAATATGTCAGGATATATTTGAAAAAAAAAACAGTGATCAGTTCTCACATGTTGGGGAGGATAAACTGGGTCTTATTTACTCCTTAAATCATTGTTTATATCAGAGAGTACACCTTCATATAGCCCATCTATGTCTAACAGGACTTGCTTTATATCAAGGATTAGGTCTTCATCTTCTTTTTTAAAAATATTTATTCTTAAGTTTTAGGTAGACACAATATTTTCATTTTAAATTTATGTGGTGCTGAGGATTAAACCCAGTGCCTCATGCATGCTAGGCGACCACTCTAACACTGAGTCACAACACTAGCCCTTAAGTCTTTATCTTCTTGTAGTGAAAGTATTGATTACAATTCAAAGAGACAGCAAGATCTGGTATTGAAGGTTTTTTGGAAGGAGATGCATCTGCTCCAATCTGCTCTGTTCTATCATTTCATTTTTCATAAGGAAATTGTTGTCCTTGTGAAATAGATTGTAAGAGCTCTTCAGCTATTCTTATTAACTGGGCTACACAGTCAACAAGTCCACCAGCTATATAGTATAGGAATTGACCCAGACTTCATTCTCTTCTTAATATATAAAATGTTACTAAAACTGTAGCAAATGGATTCTTAGTGACAATGGATCCTGTGGGGCTAGCAATTATTCTTTCATTAGTTTAAAGGAGAAATGAGGATCTTGATATGATTGATCTTGATATGATATCTTGATATGATTTTGATGGTGGTCAAGTATAGAATGAAGTCAGTGGTACCACAGGACATTTTGATGATGTTGATGAACATCAAAAAATGAACAACAAAATGTATTTGTTGTACTCTTGTTTGTACTAGTAATGATAATAGCAATCACCAGACAGATTGTCACAGGCAAGAATAAACAAAACAAAACAAAACAAAACAAAAAAACAGCAAAGCAGATCCTTGAGAAGACAGGAATTCTGAGTTTGTCCACACCAATTTTGCATCTTCTTGTTTTCTTCAGAGAAATGTGTAACAGCCACAGCCAAGGCAAATACTACCCCAGGTAGTACAGACCACTTACAACCTTGATATTCATTTTCAGTTTTGCCATAACTGATAGATACTGTTTCTTTCTAGTCCAGGGTAGAGGAGGACTCATCTTCACCCTTCAATTCTTCTAGTTCTCAAAATGGACTAAAGGAAGAAGGGTTTGTAGTTGTTTCCTGCCTGTGTCTTAAAAGGAAACTCACAATTCAAGTTTTCTAGTCTAAGTCTTTTAAGATGTAAATTTTCTACCTGGCCTCAGTTTAGAAATGCAAATTTAAGACCTAACAGACTTATTTCAATATCAGGTAAAAAATATAGCTTTTAAAACTATTCTAAATTTAAGTCTATATGTTTATATGCTTATACATAGTCAGTTTGCAAGATACTTAATTGATTTATATTGACAAATGCCTTTCACATGAATTTAGTAAATCTGTGATAAGTAAATTAAACTTGTTTATAAGAATGTCTTTAAAATCTAGTAACTTGTGTTTATGGCTTGCTAACCAATTAGAATGTATATCTACATATCTGAGGAATATTGTTCATTGTTTTCTATACAACAACCTCTTAGGAACTCTTTGGTGCAGAGATAACTCAAAAATATTAACTATGCTTGCAATCCATGAGTAATTTAAATATAGTTTTAAAAATGAGTATATTAAATGAGAGGTATTTTGAATTCTTAAAACTGTATCTTTTAAAATAATTTTATTTTTATAAGGTAACATAAATCCAGAACTAAAATCTTAAGCTTTCCACATCTCAGAAATGTTCTACTTTCTTTCAAAATTATGTAATGCTTACATGTATAGATGACATTCATGGTTTGTCTAAAATATTAATTGTTTAATAGATCTGAAAATTCATGACTGAGCCTATACTTTTGATTGTTCAAGGCCTAAGATAAGTCAAGGAAATGACTAATAGTGTAAAAGTCTGTTAACCTGTTCATATTTTCTACTTCCGGTTTCTGGAATGACATAATAAGATATTATGAGCTAAAAATTACAGTTTTCTTGTGGTGGTTCATTAACCACAAATCCTAGTACTATTTTCAAAAAATTAAATATTGGTCTGTCTATAGCTTCATTCAGTGACCTAAATGCTATATAAGAATTTCTACATTTTTATCATAAATACTAACTGTACTTTCAAAAATTAAATTTTCTGAACAAACTACCCACATAATATTTTTCTTATCACAAGGAACTTCGCTTTCTTTTTAAAAGGTTAAATGGATTTTGTACTATGTTGATATCGAATCTAATAAACTTAAGTTCTAGAGGAATTTAAAGCAACTTTAAAAAGGCATTTACGCTTGGAATCCAACTGCTGTTAACAAAGCTTACAAATGAACTGACTTAAAGGACAAAGATTTTATATTTTATCAAAAAATATCGTATATTTTCTGCAGATTTTATTATATTTTTAATTTCTTAGAAGAAAATTAGGTACTACAAGAAGTTAGGATTTATTCAAATCTTCATTTGTTCTAATCTAAACACTCCTCTTTCTTTTTTTGGTTTGTAACCCTAGTTAAATGTGTTTTACTGATGCAAATGCTCTAAAATTTTAAAAATCTGACAGTTTGAGTATAATGCTGTTAATTATGATAGTTGTCTTATATTCTGGAGTTAATAAGTTGTTTTGCTATGTTGCAAAGTTCTTTAAGTAGTAATGGTAGTGAGTAGCTTCTATAGAAATTCTCCTTTCTGTACTCATTTATTTTCTACTTCAAAAACTAATTGACACAACAATTGCTTAAACATATAGTACAACCATTTTTACAATTTGCCAGTTGAAGTTAAACTTATACTTGAATGATCCAATCATTTCAGTCCAAGTTTAGCCAAAGAAAATGAAAGAATGAATTGATACATCTTTTCAAAGACTTGAACATAAATATTTGTGGCAGCTTATTGGTGATACGTAAAACCTATGAAATTCATTTAATAAAGTAGTATTTTGAAAAGTTAATACACCTATTTGATATTTGTTAGTATTTCTCTCTGAAATGTTTCTCAGCGGCAAAGTAGAAAGTTGCTCTTCACTTCTTCTTGATGATAGCAGATGTTATGAATACTTAACAGGGTCCCTTGGGTGAATAAATTTGGGTCAACAGATACCATCTTAGGGATGCCACTGATATTTCTTTGTGACTCTGGGATAAAAATCTGGTAATGGCTGAAAGACATTTGGAGTTTCTGCCTTTCTGTAGAGGGAAAAACAATAGTAAGTTGATAGTCTAGATAAATGAGTTTATAAGCACTACAAAAAACTACATACAACTACTTTTATATTTCTTTTGTTTTTGTTACTGGGGATTGAACCCAGAGTTGCTTTACCACTTAACTACATGCCCAGCACTTTAAAATTTCTTTTTAAGAATTTTCAGGCAGATCTTGCTAAGTTGTTGAGGCTAAACTTAAACTTGTAAAGTCCCCCCAACCTCACTACCAGGATTTGCATTTACAGGCATGTATCACTGACCTCAGTTAGATAACAGAAGTCCATTTTAAACTGCACTGCAATGAGTAGATTACTTTCCAATTAATAGCCATATTACCACCATAAGAACAACCATAGAATCTATAATTGGAGAAAGACAACTTTGAATACTTGCATTCTAACTAGATGTGAAATGAATTTCTAATAAGTTTATAGTGAAAATATGAAAATTACTCAAAACTCATGAAACAGGAAAAAGATAAGAGTCTTGTCTGTCTTGAAAAACCATATAACAATACAACCTAAGTTCTGGAACATCCCACATGATCATACTTATATCTCCTTTTTAATTGATTGATCATATTTCAGAGTTTATAACATTATTTGTTTATTTACCTGTTTATTATATTTTATAGTTTATAATATTATTATTACCAAAGGGGTTTACTAAACAGTCAGGGACAGGAGAAACTTCTCTGAATTTATAGCTCTAGACTTCATATCTCTAATTGCTATTACATTTAATCAGCTAAGAAGATATTACAGTTTGGATAGAATATGTCACATACAAACCATGTGCTAAAGGCTTAAGCATCAGTCTATGGTGCCATTGGAGGTAAAAACTTTTGGAGATTGGACCTGATTGGAGAAGGAGGATCACTAGGGATAAATTCTAGATAGATTCAACTTGCCCTTAGTTCCTTCTCTATTCTTTCCTGGATTCCATGAACTAAAAACTTTTCATCCTCCATCCCCTTTCATTGTGATGTTTATGCCTTTTAATATTCCTGAAAGCAACGGAGTGAGCCGACCATAAAATGAAATCTCTGAAACCATGAACCATAATAAACTTTTCCCCCTTTAAGTTAGTTTTCTCAATTATTTTGTAACAGTGATAGAAAGTTGTTTAAAACAAAAAACATTCCAAATTGTTTACAGAAAAATTAATAATTTCCTAGTGGACAAGAATATTAAAGTTTAAGAAGGTTTAAAATTAAGTATTAAAATGATTAAGTAAATCAAACCAATAGTGAAACAGCTCAAGGCTTTAAGGCAGATACTGCACATTAAGTTTATAAATGTTTAAAATGTTTCAC